GGGGGGGGCACTCAAACACAAAGCGAGCTCTGACAATAGCAGCAGCATAAAAGCAGCAAAGCAAACAGAATGTCAGCCTTCGTGGTGAATGTGAGTGTGACGGCCTTTAAAAGTAAACTGGTCACAAAGTCACCGATCGGAGAGACGTTTGCTGACGCAGGAGCGAAGGATGAAAGGATGAAATGTTCCGCTGTATCAATGATTTTAAACCACCACCAAAACCTTACAGCAGAAGTGTACTGTAATCTTGCATAATCAGTATTTGTGTTAATTTCTTGGAGTTTTAGTGACAAGGTCTGAGGCAGTAAAGAAAGTGAAAAGGTGGCTGATATAACAAATCTCATGAACCATCGTGTGGCAGGGCTCGAGGATAGCAGGCAGCGGAGGAGGTGTGTGTCAGAGGATAAGAACAAAATGAATGAAATGAAATCAATCTGCCGCGGGGAGGGGAGTGGATGAGGAGGAGAGGAGCAGAGAGAGAGAGATCGGGAGGTCGGTGGGGAGTGCGCTTGATTTATGTGGCTTGAGTCAGGGATAATCGAAAGGTGAAGGGAGACAGCGGAGGGTTAAAGGGAGGCGGAGAGAGAAAACAAAAAAGGGAAACAGTATCAAAGGGACGGAAACGAGAAGAGGATGAGCCATGGATGAGCCATGTTGATCTGATGCTGTGTGATGATGTTTGCTCTTGGACATTTCTCTGAGAGTGGGACTCTAAAGTGATGTTTCGACTACAGGTTGAAGAGTGTCAAGTGTTTTTCTCATCTCAGGTAAAGTCACAAGACCAACAGTAAACTTCACCACACCACGTAAAGGAAACTAGCCGAGGACGTGTGACCCTCTAAAGTCAGGCCACAAATAAAGACCCTTGAAGAGAAGATCACACACTGTGCAGGAAACAAGACGTAATGTGATCGAAGAGAGAATCGGTTTCAGTGGCTTTATTTGAGTTGATTTACAGTAATTGAGATTATGTTGAGCTCAGCCGAATGTTTCTGGAAGTAAAAGTCCCATTCAGACTTTTATTATCAGCTGTAATTGGAATAATTATAACGATACAAGGTAGACTTACCACAAGCCACGAGATTGTGAAACAATGTCCCATGCTCCTGTAGTAGCCACAAGTCCATATGATATCACCTGGGTTATAAGAAAAACACATTTCATTAACGATGTCAAGGAGAAGTCAAGAGGAAGCGCTGGAAATCGTTGGAATGGGATCTTTCCCAATGGTTTATGGGATGCCAAGTTCCCTCACTCTTAAAACAATTACGTACACAGTCTATTTTTTCAGTTTCCCAATATTTTCTTTGCTCTGAATCAAATGTTGCATAGTCTCAACTCATCTTGTTCCTGGTCGGACCTGTTTCAGGCTTAGAACTCTGAAACGTCAGTGGAGAAAATGAATGGGAAGTTCAGTTACGGAACCAGAACCGTTCTAAAAGTGGGTGCTCATTTTTACAATCTATTCCGTTGTCCCTCATGTGTAGGCAATTTGAATCCGATGCAGGAATGCCAATTAATCCTTCTTACAATGAACTTCTGAGAGAGGTTTCACAAAGTATATCTTGAAAATTCTAGTAACACAGGCTGCATTTCATGTATCATGAAAACAAAGTATTTATATGTCATGTTGTGAACTAATGTGCTTGTGATGGTTTTGACATCTTCATCTCTGTAGCTGACTGTTATCTCATCCTCTCAGTATAAAAGCAACAGTGGATGGAATCAAATCAAATTTAAGATCTTTAAAAGCAGTAGTTTTTAGAATCCGATTCCTCTGGGTAATCCACAGACCTCACCGTAGTTTCAGCAAGAACTGTTCTTGACTTCCAGTGTGATACCAAACAGTGTTGAACTAAATTAGAATGTCCCCTTTTTTGGAATATTTACCTTCAATTGAAACTGGACAAACCGAAGCATGAAGAGGTATCGTCTCATGGGGAAGGAAAAAATGTGTGTGCAGACGTTCACAAGCGCATTTGTGTTTCTGATGTACAAGAGATTTACTAAAGAAGTTTCCATCTGCATGCTTTGTGTGTGTCTTCACACACTTCATTTTTTTGTGAGGGTGCTGACACAGGCTCATAATTGAGGTCAATTGATTAGATGCCACTGTTTTAACACATTTTTTTCTCCAAGATGCAGTGGTGTGTGGGTAATAGGTTCCGCCGCAGTGCTCTCTGCATTGACTGGTGGACAAAGGCCAGATAACTGTGTGTGTGTGTGTGTGTGTGTGAGAGTGTGAGTGAAACTGTATGTCTACATGTGTGTCATTTTGTCTTTTTGAAAGTGTTAAGCTGGTGATTCAGATAAAGAACTGAGAAATTTTGCAGAGAATCTGACACTGTCACAATGTAAGATTAAGGGAGCAGGAAGAGGAGTAGAGGAGAAGGAGCATGTGTGTGTGTGTGTGTGTGTGTGTGCATGTGTGTTTGTATGTACAGTATTCATGCAGGCATATCGCTTTAATATTTGAGCCTCCCACAGCATTGACCGATGGCCAAGGACACTATGTTTTTGTGTTATGTGCAAGTGTGTCTCAGTTGTTCTCACTTACTGTAGAGAAGGGACATAAATCTTGTTGCGTATCTCAATCAGTCAGCCGTCCCCTCCAGTCCATTACAGCTATAATCCCCCTAATGAGGTTTGTACTAGTACAGGCTTGAGGCAACCCCCCCCCACAAAAGTACACACACACACACACACACACACAGACAGATTAATTCCTAGATCACTACCTCTCTTTATTAATTGTCCGAAAAAAAGGAAATGCAGATGAAATTTCAAATGATCAGCAAATCGCACCCATAAACTTTTGCCTTGTCTACATTAATGTGGATCTTTTGCATAACAAATTTTATTTTCTCTGCCTCTCATCCACACACAAACAGTGTTGTCACAAGATGGCGATTTTTACAAACGCCCTTCAAAGTGCAGATTTTAAAAGACACTGGTTTATGTGTATCCGAGTGTAAAACGAAGATGTCACAGCTTACCTCACATTCATGCAACCCAGCTGTTGCCTTGTGAAATAAACATGTGCCAGAAACAACAACAACAATTAGTGCTATATCCTGGTTTCTGTCTGTTTGGTTAGCACTGCCAGGTCAAATTACAAGTTAGCAGCTAAATTTAGCATTACTGCACCACATTACTGACATTCACAGGTATCTTGTGTGATCGTTTGTGAGTCATCCATTGTGTGAATGGAGACATTTTCATGTGGAGGGAGAATTATTTTTAAAACATATCTGTTTAAAAATATCCGCAGTGGTGTAGATAAGGCATGCATTGATGATATGAATTCTGATGTTTAACTTAACAACAACTGATGCATATAGTGTAGCGGGATTGTCAAATAAAGTCACATATTTACTTGCAACTGATGAAAACATAAAAATGCAGATAAATGGTAAACGGTCTGTATTTGTATAACACTTTCTCCTTAGTTTTGATGACCACTCAAAGCACTTCACAGTTCAGTTAACTGCCATTCACACGTTCACACACACATTCACGCAGTGCACCTCTGGGCAGCACTTTTTTCTGTGAGGGTTCTTTTTGGACAGATCATCTGTGAACTTTTGAACACAAACATTTCAGGATTTAACTCCCGAATGCAACGGCACTTCTCTCTCTTTGTCGCTCTCCATGGTGCTAAAAGGCTCAAATTTAGGCTTGAAGGGAAAGTTCACCCACAATTGAAAGTCCACTCATTTTCTACTCACTCTACATAGAATTTCCAAATCCAATACAATTGAATTCAATGGTGATCACTTCTTCAAAAGTAAAAAAAAAAAACACCACAGGAGCAGCATTTAGGCATTCTATGTTTTTGTTCTGTTGTTTTTTACATTTGAAGAAGAAATCACCATTTACTTCAAATTGGATTTGGCTGCAATGTTGATTACCCCTGAAACTCCAAAAACATTTTATGGACTCAAAAAATTATAGGATTTTCAATTTCGGGTGAACTCTCCCTCCAAAAGTGTTTCGCGGACTCCAAACACTTCACCCACCCCTCCATCGTTTTAGTGGTGAGTAGATAATGAGTGAATTTTCATTTTTGGGTAAACTACCCCTTTAATCCCATTCAGACCACTGTACTCAAAACCAACTTCACAGAACACACAAGCTGCCTCCTGAATAAATCAGTCATGCCAACCAAGTAACCTCCTCTGCACTGGCACCACTAGCAAACATCAAGCAGCAACCTGACGACATCTACATAGAGCCTCCACCGTCATTATGCCTGATGATTTATGTTCTTCTTTGTGACTGTTTCATTGTGCAGGCTGGAGCTTCAGCATGGGTTCAGCCTACCAGTTCCACAGCTGGAGAGTGTTTGTGGTGGTGTGTGCACTACCGTGTGTCTCTGCAGTGGTCGCTCTTACTTTTATGCCTGAGAGCCCCCGCTTCTTCCTGGAGGTAAGAGAAAGAGAAAGACAGTTTATTTTGGTGGCACCAACATTTCTCTTAATGACAGTTATAACTAGAATGGCACTCAGTAGAGCGCATACCTCAGCTGAATCTGAATCCACAATATCTCTGCTACACGTAAGAGGTAGCTGCAGGTTTCTAGCCATAATTTGAAAATACAGTGGCTGAAAAAAGTATATCCTCCTATCAGAATATTAAAATCTGATAGATTCAGATTTTATTTATTGAGCTCCAAATTGTACCCTCACATAAATAAAATTTGATTTAATAGTCTGGATTTTTATAGTCAAGATTTGTGCATTAGAAAAAACAAAATGACCTATGTTAAAGAAAGTCAAATACACCAACAAACAGACACGGGTGAAAACAGTACCTCCTTGCTCAAGGTAATAAATCTTTTGGTGATCAGAAAAAATGTAAAACTTTTTGGAAACTTTAATGCCAGCAGAGTTTTTGTCATAGCATTTTATTTCTTTATGTCAGACGATGCTTTTCCTCTATGTGATGTAGTGTGTTGTTTATTTATTTACTGCATTAAGTGGCGACACTTAAGTGTTAACCTGTGTTCAAATGCCCAGGGTGGGGTGGGAAAGAGATGTAAAAGAACATAAAGAGATGTAAGACAATAAAAACACTGGTGTTTAAAACAATGGGAGTTTAGTAACTGTGCAGTTGCCTGCTGACTTGGCCTGATTAACAACACTGTACACAGAGCTGAGCTGCTTGAGGGACTTTAAAACCCTTAGTTTCCTCCTCAGAGTTATGATTCTTCCTGAGGACATAATTATCTTTTGGTGTCCATTTGCTTATAAGAACTTTCTTCCTTCCTGTAACCCCAGAACTTAGAAAAGTTGTTTTTAAGTTTCCTTAAGAGTCAAAGTGAATCTGTGATTGTTGTTGATACATCAGAGCCCCAAAGCCAGGGAATGAAATGCTTGAGGAAATAAGGGTGTCTGAGTGAGACGGTGTCTGAGCTAAAACATACTTTTTTCAGAATGCATATCCCTTCTTTACTTTGGTAATTTGTTTTCTCGTTCTGTAGCACTTTGTACTCTGTGTTGAAATGTGCTCTACAAATAAAGATATTACTTAGTACATTGCAAACAGAAAATGCGATTACCTAATTCGGCAAATTTTCAGTGGTGTCACATCCTCAGAGTTGATTTGGGGAGTGCTGTTTTCTATATTTGTCTGTAAACACGTCACTGTAAAGTCACTTGAGGATGGAAGGGGAAATCCTAATGTATGTAATGTGCATATATGTGAGCTCCACATGTTTAACTTGACTGTCTCCTAGATGGGTAAACATGACGAGGCCTGGATGGTGCTCAAACACATCCATGACACCAACATGCGCGCCCGCGGAGAACCAGAGAGAGTCTTCACTGTAAGTACACACTGGCCTCCCAGCACTCGGCGACCCTCCCTCCTGCTGCAGTGCCATCAGCAGGTGACATACTCGTGTCTCCCCCTGCAGGTGAACAGGATAAAAATCCCCAAACAGTTGGACGAGCTGGTGGAGATGCAGAATGAGTCAGCCAACCCTGTGTTCAAGGTCCTCTTCAAGATCAAGGCCGAGCTCAGAGGGGTATGATGCTGTTTTGTCTTTGCCCTAGTTAGGAAACCCAGGTTTTATAATGAGCTGTTATGGAAGTAAATATGGTTATTATGTTTTTTCCCTCTAAAATTAGATCTGGTTGACTTTTATGAGATGCTTCAACTACCCAGTGAGAGACAACACCATTAAACTGGCTGCAGTCTGGTTCACTCTGTCTTTTGGGTAAGAAACCCTCTGCAGAGTCTTCAGCATCACCTCCAGCTCTACTGCTACACTTCTCATTGGTATTATTCTATGCTTCTGTGGGTGGGACTGAGTCAGAGTCTCAGATGCTCTCTCACTTATGACACATGACTGCTGAGAAGTGAGATTAGAAAGATAGGCGGTGCTGTTTGGAAGCAAAGTTTTCTTTAACTAAAAAGAGACATGCTGTTGTACACAGTTATTCCCTCATATTCTGGTAAACCACATCTTTTTGCTGGATTTCTATAGCCTGAAAATAGATATAAACAACCTGCACCTCTGACACCACCTTTCCCCTTTCTCCTGTGCAGATGTAGGCCTACACCACAGCACAATTACACTTTGATTTTATGTAGACAAGCACACACACACATTTACCTGTACTTTTAGCAGAACATTAATATACAATGGTGCAATAAACCTTTTGAAACTGTACTTCTGTGACTGTACTTCTACACATTATTGTAATATATAATGTATAAATAATATGTGTACTTACCATCATGTAATTATGAGTAAATGCTTTACTGGTTTTGTGATGTACTTACAAGTCACAGACACATACAAGCAGTCAGATATTTTACTAAAGTCTCAGACTGGGAGATTATCAGTTTGTAAAATTGATATTGTGTCTTAATAATTAAATTGAAATCAAATTCAATAACAGAAAAGCAGTCAAGCACAACACAGTCACTGCATCTACCATCATGGTGATGAATCCAGGGTAAGCAGAATGAGCTGGAGGACCATGACCATGTGTTCACTCCAGAGGGCTGTCGTTGTGTCCAGGTACTACGGGCTGTCTGTGTGGTTCCCGGATGTCATCAAGCACCTTCAGGCCGATGAGTACGCCTCCAGAGTGAAGGTTCACAACAACGAACGCATTGAAGACTTCACCTTCAACTTCACACTGGAAAACCAGATCCAAAGGAACTCTGTTTTTCTAAATGACAGGTAAAAGAAACAGTGCGGGGGCAAACTGACTTCTGATTCGATTTTAAAAAAGCCTCCCCATAGCTGCCTGTCCCGTTGTGGGATAGCCATACTGTTGGTCATTCCCACAAACAACACAGCACTGCTGGAAATATTAATCCTGCCTCCTTTATCTCCCTCAGCACCAGGAAATTAAATGGCTTGTCTCTCTCTTTCCTTCTCTCTTGCGCTCTCTCTCTCTCGTCCATACACACATACACAGTCCTCTGTTCCTTCTCCTCCTCGTTATAGTTCTCACTTACACAAAGGCCACAGAGGAGATGCGTCGATATGCTGTATTTGTTTCTTCCCAATACCCACTGGAGACCAGAATGCATGTTTATTAAGAGATTAAATCAAGGCCAATATCATGAAAAGCGTGCACAGCAGCCCTCTTATATCAGACATGCTAAAGGACGGACATGGGGTGATGAAGAAGACGTCTGTAAAACTACTCAGTTACAAGTAAAAGCCCTGAATTTAAAGGACACATGTTTTTGTTGTTTGTTTTTAGTTTTCTCGAGTGTGTTGTACAGTTTTTATACATGTGGTCTGCAAAGTTAAAAAGCCAAAAGTGTCTGAAGCGTGAAGCGAGTTCCTTTAATCTGACTAACATGACGAGCTCCCGAACAAAGCCAGGGGGCTTGAAGAGACAGGAGCTAAAACCAAGTGTTTCAGACAGAGGCTGAAAAGAGGAGCTGCAGCAATGACCACAGTGAGGAAAGTGATCATCAGAGCATGTGAAGCTTTTTGAAGTAGTAACACAGATTAAAGTTATCAACCTAATATAACCATTAAATGTTTCCTTCAGAGTTTTACTTATTGTACAATAGCTGATTGTTTTATGTCATGTAAAAGCTGCATCATGACTGGGAAGATCGTATTCATTCTTTTTCTAAAACCTTCTGCAAATGAATTAGTGTCAAATAAATGTCGTGGAATCAAATGCGATATTTCCTCATAAATAGTATCAAATATAGTTCCTCTAAATTTCCCTCATTAAAGGAAAGGATAGTTCAGTATCATCTCCTGTGGGAAGGATGTGACCAATCCCTGCTGATCCTGCTTTATTCGTTTCTTACATTTGTTTCCTTCCCTGTCGTCTTCACCTCTTCCCAGGTTTATCAGTATGAAGTTCAAGGCGGTCACATTCATCGACTCATCTTTCCTCAACTGCTATTTTGAGGATGTCTCCTCTGTAGGATCCTTCTTCAAGAACTGCACCTTTATCGACTCCTTCTTTTACAACACGGGTGAGTACTCCTCCCCTGCACACGGCTCCCACAGCCGAGGTGTTTCCTTCCACTCCAGAAAATCCCATTATGCCGTCGGTGCCTTACACATAAGTCTCAATCAGCCTCTCTATCTTTTTCAGACAGTTCATTTTAGGTCTAATGTCCAAGCTGCTGGCTTCGGGAACAAGGAATGGGTTTGAGCGTTTATGGCTTTGCTTTATGTCACTAAATTACTGCTTAACCTCTCTGCCCCTGCACAGATTGCCTCTCTGAACTCAGGTGACTGTAGTTAACACATGATGCATGATTTGTAGCTGATGTCTAAGATGTTTGCATAAATTCAAGACAGTAAGGCAACAACATCCTAAAGGGAGATTTCCTTGCTCACCTGAATAATTCATCACAGCATGTTTTGTTGTGGTTTTGATAAAACAAACGTCAGAACCAGGGCAGCTATAGCTGCATCTGAAACATTGAAGCGTCCCTTGCCAAATCCAAAGCTATGATATTAAAGTGCAATCCATCAACAACACAACCAGGAAGTACAGGAAAAGGTAGCAGAGGCATTTTAAATGTTCTGAGAGAACTGGAGCTGAGTCAGACCTTGTGGGAGCGGAGGGTAGAAAAACAGTTCCCTCCAGCACTCTGGGAAAGCGCTGAACATGGAAACAGTAAGGGCACCGTTAGGTTTCTGGTAATGCCCCATGGGAAATGAAGTCTGCCCACAGCAATGTGTCCCTTCAGAGCAAAGGATCAAGAGAAATGAGAGTAGAGAGGAGTGATCAGAGCAGAATGTTGTTGAGTGTTCTCATTGCTGCAGCTTTATTAATAGAATGATACTATTTAAGGAGAGAGCCCTTTATAAACTTTACAGAATGACAGCATTATATATGACTTTCCTCTATTTACAGTGGAAAGGCTTTATGTTTTTGAACCACATTCAAAAATACAGTGCAGCATTCTATTCAACCTATCCTGAAGGACTTAATTATTCTCTCAATACAGTCAATGTCCGAGCCCAAGTCCAAGTTACAGGTCCTGAAAACTGAGATTTGAGACAGACGTCAGTTCCAGTCTTGACCAAACTCAAATCATACAACACTGCCTTGGTCTGTAGCTAATTATTCACACTAATAACAGACACTGGTGAAAACACATCAAACTGTCTCGGGCTGCTTTGACTCAGGATAAAGAGCGGGTCATCCATTAACCAGAAGTTCATTGGTTCAATGACAGTTTCCCCTGTTCCACGTGCAGAGGTGTCCTTGGGCAAGACACTGAACCCCAGATTGCGTGAGTGAAGAGTGATTGAGGAAGTGCTGCACAAAAATGAAAGTGTGAATGACTGTAAAGCACTTTGAGTGGTCATCAAGACTTAAAAAATCACTATATAGAATCAATCTGGAAAATGATGTACTTCATTCAATTATTTAAAAAACCTTTATACATACAGTATATATTGTTTTCTGCAATGACGCATAAATCAACAGTTTTTATACTCAGGACCAGGACAAAATAAGACACAATAAGATAAACTGTCAATAAATATCCTGAAACTCATATCCTTTGAGAAGGCTCTCCAACATGGCTGGATTATTACAATGTTTGACAGCTTCATTAAACTTCATGACAACAACATGTGTTTCTAAACAGTTTCTCCTTAGTTTTTTAATTAAACACAACTTTATATGGGAACAGACACCATGGTAGTACTGATAGCAATGACAACAAGGCAAGATATGACGGGGCTGCATTAGTTGTCATTGTGAATTAATCAAAGAATTAAAATTATTTGACTTACAGTGGACCTGACACGTCTGGGGCCCCTTGGGCAGCTGCCTCTGACTAATTCCATCAAATAAGATAAATTAAAAACCATGAAACAATAAATGAAAACATCAATTTTCTACCATAAACTAAAATCCTCAACCTGGAGACAGAAAATGTAGTTCTTGGTGGTGTTTTTCTTTAACTGGAGAAGGTGCCCGGCAGACAAAAGCCTTCTATTCATTTTATTTCAACGCAGTGTGAAGACTGAATTCTCTCCTCTCACATTTACAGATATTGACGATGCCAAACTAACAAACTCACGGGTGATCAACAGCTCCTTCCACCACAACAAGACAGGGTGTCAGATGACCTTTGAGGACGATTACAGCGCCTACTGGGTCTACTTCGTCAACTTCCTGGGAACTCTGGCTGTTCTGCCTGGAAACATCGTCTCTGCTCTCCTCATGGATAAAATAGGGCGCCTCAGCATGTTAGGTATGACATAACATCCTCCCTGGTCTGTGAGGGCTGCTCAGACGTTCTGTTTGACCTTATGGATAGCAGCCGTTTCTCTTGCAAAATGTCCCGACTCCTTGTGACGTTGGCCTTTGTGCTGCACCTGCAGTGACCTCTAGTGACGTAAATGAGGCCATTTTGGGTCTGAGGTGTAAAAGGTGTGCTGTGTTGCCCCCTGCAGGAGGCTCCATGGTGCTGTCAGGCATCAGCTGCTTCTTCCTGTGGTTCGGAACCAGCGAGTCGATGATGATCTTCATGCTCTGTCTGTACAACGGCCTCAGCATCTCTGCCTGGAACTCCCTGGATGTGGTCACCGCTGAGCTGTACCCAACAGACAGGAGGTGAGTGCTGCACACAAAACTCAGTGAAAGATACAAGAAGAATTAGACTTCTTATATCTTCTGATTTCCAAAAAATGTCAGAACAATATCGGAATAGCAAAAGCAAAAACAGTATTTTAGTCTGCTTTTTGTGGCACGCCCACACAAGAGGCCTCTGGACATCAACCTTTTCCTGATGACATGAACTTGCTCTTTGTCCTTTCTTTAAAATAAAGTCACTGCATCCAAAACACATCTAGTTGTGTGACTCATAAATGGTTTCATTCCCTGTCAATATCTGAAAAGCTCTGATGAATATTTGGTGAAGCTTCAGGTCATTCACATCCCTCATTTGACCCACTGACAGATTGTTCTCAGCCCAGATATATTCTCATTATTATTATTATCATCATTATAGCTCATTTCACATTATTATCCTCTGAAAAGGCCAGACCACATCTCATTGGTTCAGTTGTGGTGAGAAACTACAAATCCTCACTTTGTTTACAACAAATATGAAGAAGCAAGATTCTGCCACTACATTGCTCATATTTATTCAGTCACTGATCCAGTTGTAGAACAGGGTTACATTCCGCAGGTTTGAATTAGGACTGGCCATTAAAACATTCTTCAGAGCGAGGAGAGAATTAATATAAAACTAGAATATAACTCAGAACTCTATCAAGGCCCAACAGTCCCCTAATGAAACCACATTCACTATAGTTCCTATCTCTAATATATATGAATGCCCCTTTATTCAAATCCACACCAAAATTAAATGATTCTTTCTTAGCTTATGTCCCATCTTTCCACCTAGTTTCCTGAAAATCCATTCATTTGTTTTTGTGTAATTTTCTAATCAACAGACAACCTGTCTGCTGATTACTGTGTTAATGGTGGGGTCACCCTCTCTGTTTAAATCATCTGTGCTCTATCTGCTATGTGCTGCACTGTTTCATCGCAGAAAACAAAAGATACAAATTTGAATAACAAAGTCTGTCTAAAAATGAAATGACACAAACACACTGCTACACATGTGTCGCTCTCCTCTATATCTTCCTTGTGTTTTTATTCCAGGGGCACAGGCTTCGGCTTCTGTAATGCCATGTGTAAGCTGGCAGCAGTGCTGGGCAACCTGATCTTTGGCTCACTGGTTGGCATCACCAAGGCGATCCCCATCCTGCTGGCATCGTCCGTGTTGGTTGGCGGTGGCCTGGTGGGGCTGCGACTGCCAGACACACGCGCCAATGTCCTCATGTAAACCTCAACGCAGAACAATATGTTGTTTACCAGGTTTTTCACTCGGTGTACTGAATCATTTGTTAACGCTCTGCAGTAAAGTTTGATTTGAATTTCAGTAAAACAAGAGTAGCTGTGATCATCTTTGTAGTTATCATTTGACAAATAATGTTACTCTGTTCACAATCTCAACTATTTCTGAGTGAAACACCTGGTCGACTGGGATAATCAGATGCAGTTTATCTTTACAGAGAGCTGTGGATATGAAGAGATTGAAGACACTAGTCAAAAATCTGTGTGGTGTCAGAGGCTGGTTACCAAAGCCCCGTGGTTTCTTCCAGAGATTCTGGATGAAAGAGTTAATCTGAGGAAACCGGCTAGAATAATTAGTGTCTCTTAAAACTCTGCATATCAGCAGCTCTGTATCCACCATGGGCTGCTTCACACTCGCAACCAACAAACACATGTGTCTAAGCGGCAAAGGGCTTGGACCTCTAACACAGACCCTCCTTCAAATCCCACTTTACTCAGATTAAAGGAATAGTTCGACATTTTGGGAAATATGCATTTTGAAAACTAGAGTAGCACAAAGATTGGAGATAAAGGTAACAGCTAGTCTGGCTCTGTCTGGAGAAAACACACCCAAAGCTCAACCTTTAACACATTCATGGTATATGTTCTGTTATTTATGTAGCACTTTTCTGCTTTAGGGCACGGTCACACATATGCAAATGTAGGCGAATGTCGTAGGTCAAAGTTCACCAAAGTGGAACTCCATTCAAAGCCCAAAGCCATTTGCCTCGCCACTGGAGGCTGATTTTATTTTTCCCTCTCAGTGAACTGGAGACGAAGGTTTGCAGCTGCTTCCTCATATGTGTGACCTTATGATACAGTTTTCACCTATATTCACACACACACAAACAAGCACACAATTATACAGTGCATCTCTACCACACATCAGTCACACAAAGCACTGGCACAGTCATCAGGGGCAAGTATCTTGCCCAAGACACTTCGGCATTCAAAATGGCTGAGACTGGGATCGGGCCGAGGGCGTACTTAGTGTACGACCCGCTCTACCTCCCACTACTGCCCCATAATCCTTACATCCCAAAAACTCGACACGTATGTTTTTACACTTCGTGAGCCTCAGAGGTGCTGATGGGTGGATTTGGTTTTCTTTGGAAAGGTCCAGGCTACTTGTTTCCCTTTGCTCCCAGTCTTTATGCTAAGCTAAGCTAACTGGATAATGTTTGACAATGGTATCATTCTTCACTTCTAGCTCAGCACGAAAGTGAATAACTGTGTACAGTTCAACAAAATGCTGAACAATACCTTCAAGTACAAATCATTGTGAAGCACCCGAGTATTTATGATTATGGTTATTTATTTCCATAGATATTCCTGTAGTATTTTACGTGTGTTATTTATTGCTTTACCAGTTTTTGAAACTGCGATCAGTATTCCACGAACAGTTGATGATGTTCAAGCCTTTTGCCGCAATGTGCAAGAATGAAAAGGCCATAGAAAAAAAAATACAGTAATGATGTAGTAATTTAGTCGGAACCTTCTGCAGCTACATTTCTAAAGTGAAAAGAAGTTTACATTTTCTGCTTTTTACAGTAAGAGACTTTTGGGATTGGAAACCTTTTGTCTGAATGCTTCCTCTCTCCTTCTCTCGTGTCTGTGTTGTGTTCGTCTCGTGGCGCTGAGCTCACCATGAAGGGCTTTGCTCTCCGTTGTAATCTGATCTGTCAAGAAGAATTTATACCGTAGGAAACCTCTGCTGTTATAAAAACCTGCTCTTCTCCTTGTGTTTTCTTCCTCTTAATGCGTCTCACTGTCATGGTTTCTTCATTGTGTCTCTGGACCCGTCCCGTCTTCCTGTCCTCTCTCTTTACCTCCTTCTGCCTTGCTGCTGCTGCTCCCTCCAAAACTCGAAGGCCTTTCTCAAATGTCGTGCCTCTCTCTTTCTCCATTGAGCTCGTCTCTCCTTCCAAACCTTGCTGGAAGCTTTGCTGCTCTGCCCTGCTTTTTCGGTCCCTCATTTATTGATACTGCAATTTGTGAGTGTGTGTATGAGTGTGTTTTCAGACGAACCGTTATTAGACGCAGTGAGCATTGCTTATGTTGAAAAAGTTTTTCGTGTTCTTTTCTTTACCAAATAAATGAGTTTGTTAACATAATCAAGCGAAATTAAAAGCCATGCATAAAGGGTCGGTTCACCCAAATTGAAAATAAAAATAAAAATGCACTACCTACGCAGGATTTGTTGGATTTGTGCTGAGGTTTTAGCAATCAGTGCAATGGAGGTGAATACAAACGTTTGTTCTGCTTTTAACATTGAAAAACGACCTGTAAAGAAGAGGAAGGCCGAGTTCAGGCCGAGCTCTGTCCTGCATAAATCAATTTCACTTGAATGGATCATTGCAGAGCTAAATGCTAACACCAGCACGCTCACACACTCGCAGTGGCCATGAAAACAGGTTTAACATTACAGCTGAGACAGATGTGTTTCATCATAAATCAATGTACTGGACAAATTCAAATTTTGACTAAATAATGGTGTTATATTTAAAAAAATTAAAATATGTTCTTACCAAGAATGTCTTTCATGGCAAACCAGTTATTGAGATATTATTTTCTCTGGATAATTCACCCAACTTTGAAAACAGCAGTTTTAAGGACTATTTTGTTGGTTTAAAAATGTTTCTGGAGAGACCTGTTATTGTGAGCGCACCACATAATGGCCCATTCAGATAGAAATCCTCAAGAGGGATATCAGTGCACATAAAATGAAATCTATCTGCATGGCTAGATATCTGTATATATGTTTTTTTTTGTGATTTGGGTGAACAGGCCTTTTAAAACCTCTTGTGACTGGTACTCTATCTGCTACAGTGTGAGTGCATTAATTTTAAAATACATCATTTGTAAAATAAATTCCTGTAATATCTCTTCTAGGTTCGTTCAAGCGTACAAAGGATTGGTTAATACAAGAGTACTGTTTCATTCAGATGGGTTTTTTGATGATGAGGATTACTGTCAATATACTGTATGTTCTGTTCCTATATCAGATTTCTTACTCTTTACATTTAACATTCCATTAGTTTCTGACTGAAATGCCACTCTATGGAAAGTAAATCTGGTTTCCTGATGAGTATGTCTGATGCTTTATCCGTCTGCTGGTCTGCACTGTGCCCTCCTCCGAACACCACCAGCTGTGCTGAACAAACTCACTATACTTCACTGTTTCCACCAAGAAATCCTGCATGTTTGTTACTGAAGTCCCCCCTGTTGTGTGTGCTCTTTCTGTTTCGTTGTCTTCACTGTTCCTCCGCTGGAGGAAGCAGACGTGCGATTCCCGGGGTCAAAGGTGAATGTATCATTGGTGCGTGTTGTCAGATTTGTTGTGGACAGGCGTTCATTATAATCAAGTTGAATATGAGGTGAAAGGGGCGTGCCAGTGGTGAGATGATATAGCAGGGGTGGTCAAATCTGTTTCCAGTTGGATTGATCGTTACAGACGCTGTGACTTTCAGATTTGAAAACCTCTGCTGTCAAACAAAATGTGGAGGTGTGTGTAAAAAAGAATTACCTGTCCTTGATATGATTTATTTTGATAAGAAAAGGTGCAAGAGAATGCGATGTTAAGGTGGATTCCTCTGGTGTCTCCATATTGAATAAACAGTTTCATTTGAACAGCTGTGGGGCTTCCTTCATTGTGTTCAGTGTTCACATCGGGCTTTCATCCACTTGCACCAGCAGATGGCACCATTTACAATATAAGCTTCCTGGCCAGATAAGACCAAGTAAGGATGTTCCAATAAAACTCCTGAGGTAATTTAATAAGCACAGGCATCTGTTTTATTTCTTGTAAATTCAAATATTTATATTAGTATATTATATTTATATTATATCAGTGATGAATAGAAAAACAAAAACAGACATAAATCTCAGTGTAGACAGCTTCAGAGTTCCGGCCAAGAACTTTATTAGTCCACAGAGATGTTAAACCATCAGGAAAGAGCGCAAGGAGCAGACATCAAACACCAGCTGACAAAGATGAAGTGGTTCGATTTTAAGTCACACGCAACTGTAAAAAGTATCAACGACAACGCAGTACACTATCATTTATTTCAGGTGTATATCTTTGACGTAAAAATTGTATAGACAAAGGAGTCTGGGTGAACCAGCATGAACGATCAGATTAAGAAAATACCGCAGATAAAATCATTGAATAAATGTTTGAACTAAAAGGTGTTTAAAACTCATGAGATAACTGTGGTGATTAGTTCTTATTTTAAGGTGAAAAAGTAACTAAATACTAATATCAGATATATAAACCTAAATCTTAATTTATAATTCTAAACCTGACTATTGAGTCTTTATCTACATTACAACATTTAGATTTAAATTCAATATTTAGATTTAACATTGATATTATCATCAATTGATTTTTTTTATGAAAAAGCTAAATATAACAAATATTAGGGGAAAACTGGTGAGTTGCTGTTATTTTATAAGTAAAACTGAACTGGACCGGCTCGAGTCTAGTGGCATGAGTTACTCAAAGTCTAGAAAAGGCCTCTGCTGTTGTGGAGTTAGAAATTTCAAGCTTCCATGACAACCTCCCCAAACTGTTAGAACTTGCACTTGGCCCACATGTGCACTTGGATTCAGACCAAACCCAACCCTGACTCTCCCAGATTCCACTACCAGAATAAGGAACTTCTGTCCTGTTCACAGTCTTAAACCATGCAGATTGAAACATTCAGCCTGGTGAATGTGGATTGGAACTGCATGAATCCATGGAGCCAACCTGTATGTGTCAACATTCCAGGCTGCTGCTGCTGGTGGTGTGATGGTGTTTTCTTTACACAGTTTAGGCTTTGATACCAATATAGTAAATGATGTAATGCAAAGCGAATGGGAAGTCTGGGCATGCGTGTCACCCTGAACTTGCATGTGTGTCACTTGCTCGTCAGGAAATGCCAACGCAGTTAGCGTGATTGTGGTTAATTCTCTACATGAGTTGACAGGAATAGAAGATGAACAAAGTTCTAGACCCGGAATTGCTTAGATTATATCTGAAACTGCTCTTCAGTAAACTATTCTTAAAATAGTTTACATTTTAACAAACGGAGAGCACTGTTTATGATTACAGGGATAAACAAACGTTTGGGAGACTTTTTTTTAATGTCAGTCTGTTTCACATCGTTTATGGTCAGTCATAGTTTATTGTAAATACTCCGCACAGGAGGCCTTCTGCCAAGAAATAAAAAGTTTTTTTGTAGTTATATTCCTCAGAATTCTACAAAGGGAAAGCAATAGGCCCACAAAATTATACCCGTCAAAAGATATATATATACATATATATATGTTTTGGTCTTTCAAAGCATATTTAGCATTAGTCTGCTCATTCCCTCTGTGACAGACAGTCAAACACTTAACGATAGACCTATGTACAAGAAGAAGTTATCTAAATGACGCAACACGAAACAAGTCCAACTATTGTTAAGCGATACAGTGGCGGTCCTTTAACTATCTTTTGGGATTCCAGCCCCAGAGAACATTTTCCCCCACATCAACTACAAAATAAATGAAAACCAGATTTTGGCATGATGTGTCTCTTTAAACAGATATGCTCAGGGTCTTGCCTTTAAAGGCCCTGAAGTATCTGCTCGAGCCTGAAGATTTGGACATCAAGAGAAAGAGGAAAGGGTCCAGACAGGCATGGAGGCAGCACAAACACACCGCCACATTAAAATACACATACAGAGTTTCATTTCTGTCCACAAACAGCTGCACGTAATGGAGGAAGTGCAAGACCACAGCAGGGGTAAAACACAGCAGGAAGATGACAAACACGAGTGAGCTGGCCTTGATGTATAAAGACCAGTCGTTCTGTGACTTTTTGAGCTCACAGACGATTCGTGTGAAGCACAGAACAGTGGTCACCAGCGGCAGGAGGAGGCCGAAGACGGCCAGGATCAGGTTGTAGTAGAGCAGGAACATATGGGAGTCATAATCCAGAGGCAATACGTCATGGCAGGTGGTGCGTCCCAGCTCAGGGAGCCAGTAGCTCTGCTGGATGAGGAGTTCAGGGACAACGGCGGCTCCAAACACCATCCACACGGCCAACGTGACCCAGGCAGTGCACGTCCTCTTGGGCAGGGATTTGTACTTGAACGGGTGCACTACAGCCAGGTAGCGCTTGATGCTGATGCAGGCCAGCGTCTGGGCCGAGCAGTAGAGGTTGCCATAGAAACAGGCCGTGACCACCCGACAGGCAGCTTCTCCGAGAACCCAGTGGTTTCCATAGAAATGGTAGTGAGCCTTGAAGATGAGGGAGAGGAGGAGGAAGAGGTCGGAGACAGCCAGGCTGCAGTACAAGATGGCACAGGACACCTTCCTAATTTTAGAGTACAATGTACACAAGATGGCAGCGTTGGCCGGGATCCCGACAACAAGCACCAGGATATAAATAATGGGGATGACCCGGGTGCTGAGAGGGCTGTCGAGGTACCCTGCTGTGCTGTTGCTTCGTAACGTCAGTGCTGGATGAGAATGAGATGTTTCAGGAGCCTGAGTCTTATATTGGTTTAAAGGGTCCCCACTGAATGTTCTGGGATTAGGGACGGCAGAGTCAGTCCTGTTATGCCTTTTCATCCTCGGTTTCCCTGCAACCAAACAAGAACACACAAAAGTTAGTGAGAACTTGTTTATTCTTTGTACTTAAATGTATTTTATCAACATCAAATTCAACGGTGTTGTCATCACCAAACAATATGCAGAAAACACAACAAGTTCCTGATCAGTGCTGCAACTATAATCATCTGTTTTCATTTTTTTATTAGATTAATAAATGTATCCTTTAGTCAAATGTGGTTAAATATCAGAAAATAGTGGGAAAATAATTGAAGTTTTTGTTGCAGACAAGATAACAAATTCAAATCACGTTTTGTCCAAAACCTACAAATATTTACTTCTAAAAACAGAAAACTGTTGAAAACAAGGAATTTAAAAGGTTGATTGATTATCAAAGTATCTTTTTCCTGCTATTTTACTAATCAATTTATCTGTTTATTCAGCTCTAACCTTGTGTCGTGATAATAGGCTATTTAGAGTGAATCACTGAGGAACCATTCCACAAGTTGCAGCTTGTTTGTTAAGTTTCCACATCAGCTCACAGATCAAGTTTCACTTCCACCACCACTAAAAATATATGTGAAATAGAATAAATATAATATGTAAAAAGGTATTTTCATAAAAACTTAAATCATATAAGCACCACTTACCCCTTTTTTGAAGTGTGCCACTTGTGAACAGAACAAAAATGAGCAGAAATAAAAGCTTCCTCATCTTTTCTTGTTGTGGAACAGCGCTCAGCTCAAATGTCACAAAGATCTCTTCTCTCCGGTGTTTGTTGTTTCCTCAGCTCCACATTTCAATGCTGCTCAGTTTCACCCCCGTCTGCTGCCTCTCTGTGGGTGTATTCAAGTTAGAAAACCCCTCCCCGAGTGAGGATGAGCAGGAAACAAACATGACGTCTTTCCCACTTTCAGAAACATGTGTGGGTTCAATTTACTTTCTTTTTAACTTGCATAAGAACTTTGTCACACTATCATACTGTTGCTTTAAAGGTAACAATACTGATCCCCGCTCTAGTTTATGTGCATCTGTCTCAACCCTCTGACTATTCTCTTTTCTTTTTCCACTTTTTTCCCTCTTGCATCACCTCAGCAGGGATACATCTGAAGGAAATGTATTTACAATTACTATTCTGTATGGATTTTTCACTCGGCTCTTGATGGGCCCCCATTCAACCCCCAGGGTGAGAGTAAACGGGACATCTGGACATCTGGGAGCTCTGCATTATGCTCCCTGGAGTGACGTGGAGAGAGGGGATAAACAGAAACTGGAAAAGCAAGGAAATGTCTGTCTGAAGATGATAAGCTTGTCCGGATATGAGCGTTTTTGTTTCGTCTTCACTCTCATTCTTCCTGAAACATCTTATGGAAGCCTTACCATACTTTGGTTACATTATAAACCCTTTGAGAAGTTGTGTACTGCCAAAACATGTTGAGAGATGAGAAAAGTCAAATATATATATGTGCAGTCTATATTTCTAAATGCATCTGTATCCGTACGGGGAATGTGTCTTCAATGATTTCTTCTGTGTTTTCCTTTTAAGCTCATTTTTACATTTACAGGAAACTTCATCAGCTTGAATGTTTCATATTCTTTGGGACACATACTCTGAAGTACTTTCTTGATTTTTATTTTATTATTCGAGTCCTTAACACCCAGCTGATTGCAGATGTGACCTGTGTCCTCTTCCCCCTGAATCTGTTTATCAGCCAGAGAGACGCATTGTCTGACAGCATGTTTTCGACCTCAGTATGCACCACATGCAGACACCTCGCAGATGTGCGGTATCTATTTCCTGTCTTTGACGTTGCCGCTGACGTACAACTAAAAACATCCCGCGTGACCAAAACGGAGAACTGGGCGAAGCATCTGCTCTGCACTGCAGTTGAGCTTATAATCGTCACAAACGAAACATAAACATGTTGTTTTCATACTTGCAGCAAAAAGTCAGAGAGGTTATGTTTACTGTCACATAAAAACATAGTCAGGGTCGTCCTGCATGAGTCACATGTCCATTCAAGTCCACTAACAGGAGTATTCTCTTTTTTGTGATTACTAAAAATTAAGGAATAACTGTAATTTCTACTTTCTATGACTTACTTTGTATCAACTGTCTAAAAGTGGCAAACTGTGACAACTCTGCAACACTGTTGTGCACTGTCCCTGTTAAATAAATAAACACAAATAATAAACACAAATACAATGTTAGCGATTAAAAGGTGCTTTTGCTAGAATATCATTTTTAAAGCTTTGATGCAACGTTGATTGAAGACTGTATGCACAAGCCACAAATGAGAGCAACTTGCCTTTATGATAAATGATTCAGTATTGGAGATCTTTTTTATAAGAGCCATGATGCATCTACTTCCTTTCTGTTTAACTCTCTCAAATAACAGCAACACATCTACAGCAAACATCTGTTTCCTATAGTTATAATACACTTAATTCATCCCCTACAACAGCACACTGCTTTCTGTTTTTAATTCTTCTTCAATAAGTTAATAATTAATTCAGAATGGAATCACTGACAATCAGATAAACTGAGGAGGATTATTTTGATGCGAATACTGGGATAAATGATATGAAAGATTATAGTAACAATCCAGTTAGTTTTCTCCCCCATGTGTCCATTAAAAAAGAAGTGTTAGATTTATACCCAGACTTTGGCAGAGACAGTGTCTCTGTAATGATTCAAATAACCTTTTCAGGTTTATTTAAAAAGCTTTTAAACATACATTTGTACTGGTTTTAAAACTTTGATAACTGAAAAATGCTACAAAATAAAGAAATAAGTGATTTTCCCACATGAGGGCGATATTTATCTTATTTGAAGGGGATTATATCATTCAACTGCTTATCAGACATTCAAGTCACTTAATGCTGACATCATTGAACTATTTTAGCTCAGTGTCGCCAAGAGTACGCCCACAGTTTCTGTCATATTCTTGTTGTGTTTAGACTGACATGTGGAAGAAATGATAAAAGTATACGTACCGTTCAACAATATCTTCTTAAGTTTTTTCTTCCATCATGTTCTTATCTTCCAGAAAGTGACTGGGCACATTTCCCACTGTCAGCGGCCAAATTTCACTGCAAACTCATTTTTCCTGGTGAAAATCTTAAATGATGCACATTCTGTAATTTGTCGAGGACAAAATGACGCAACGGTCAATGGACACCAAAATCATTAACCCATTGAGGGCTGGATTGAAAATAATACTGAAAATCAAGGAAAAAACCTGAAATCACAGGGTGATCCAACTTGCGTGACTTTTATCACAGCAACTTGTAATGTTACTCAGTGTGTATTACCCTGCTGGAGTTCATTTTGTAGAGCTCTGGCAGTGCTCCTCCGGTTCCTCCTCTCACAAAGGAAGAGAGACCAGTCCTGCTGCTCGTTTGATGCCCTTCTACGGGCCTGTTCAAATCTCTTCGTGTAACTGCCGGTCTCCTGGTATCTCCTTCATGCCCTTGATATTGTGCATGGGAGATGCAGCAAAACTTGTGACTGCAAGTATGGATGTGCCTTCCCGCAGGAGCTGGAATACCTGTTCAACCTGATCAGGCTGCAGACACAGCCTCATGCAACCAGTAGTGACGAGGACACTAACAAAGCACACAACTAAAGAAGAATTAGTCAGGAAGGAGAGAGCAACTGTCTGTGGCCAGCACCTTTTTGGGGTTGTATTGAGTGAAACTGAATCATCACTTGTGCTTCCTAAATGGCATGGAGGGTCACGCAACCACCAGCACTCTCACCTGAGGACCTCCCACCTCTGGAGCCATGGGTCCTACTACTGCGCATGTTGGATGATGAGGGAGGCAGGAGTGCCCGGGGAGACCAACGCACCCTTGGAAGACCATGCCAACGTCCATGTGGAGATTCCCCGGGCTGGATTCAAGCCCTTGACCTGACACTGTGACTTAACCCCCCCCCTTTATTTCCTTTTGTTCCCCTATATTATTTGTTCTKTCTCCATCACCCCAACCGGTCCTGGCAGAGGCCGTCCACACCGAGCTTGGTTCTGCCGGAGGTTTCTTCCACCTGGCAGTTTTTCCTCCCCGCTGTTGCTCATGCTTGCTCGGTGTGGAACAAGTCGGATTAAGATCTTGGACTTTTGTGCAGCACCCTGAGACAACTGTTTGTTGTGATACCGTGCTATATTAATATATTTGATTGAAATTTGAATTTGAACTCACTTGCTGTTATACTGTGATGTCAAGTGTTCCCTTAA